GCAGGTTCTCCCACCGCGGGGGGGTGGCTTCAAGGAAATGAACTGTCTTGGTGGGGGGGGGGGGAGTTATTGAGTTAAAGAGGGGGGACATGGAAGGCAGCCAGCTGGATTGCTGGCTCACCCTTGCTCAGGGTAATTTTTAGAAACTACTTCACTGGTGCAGGGTTAGTAGGCTAAATTACCACCATGCTGTGCTCCTGTTCTCTGTCCACGTCCCTAAGAGTGGAGGGAGGTGAAGATTGAACAAAGAAGACAAGGTGCAAGGAAATGAACTGTCTCCATTTGCCCCAAACAAGCCCCTTTGTATCCTTGAATCAGTGGAGTCACTGTCACCCCTTTCATTATCTGTCATTATCTTTCGGTTGGACGTCCGCCAGGAGCTTGTGTTTTCTTTGCATGCCGGCCTTGGACTTACAAGGAAATCAATGCAGAAGACTACAATGCCTAACCCCCTTATGTTGTTGCTGCTTTAATTAAAACAATAACAGCAGCTCACAGTTTCCACTCATTTGGGGTCATTCGTTGGCAACTTCTCCATCTCTTCCCATCTGGATGTACATTTTTTCTGCCGTCCCCAGAGTCTGCCAGGCGAGCCTGTTTCCACAGCATCTATGCAAATGAAGTTTGCAATGTTTGTGCGTGAGTGCGTCTGTGTGTGTGTGTGTATGTGTGTAGACCAACACTTGCTCTAGGTTAATCACAGAGTTTTGTGTTGTACTGACTCTATGAAATAGCTGACTTTGAGCTTCTTCTTTTCCATAACTCTCTCTGTAGACCTACTGCTCTCTCCCAATCCCTCACCCCTGTTTCTCTTCTCAGTCTAAAATTATCACCTCATCTTTCTCAGGGAGCCACAACTCTGCCAATCACAAAAATACAGAAAAAAGGCAAAGAAAAATATGTCTCCTTCTATAAATAGTACAAAATCTTGAGCAAATTTTCCTTAATTCCTCTCATTTATTTCAACTTTTCCTGTCCTCTAATATTCTTGCTCTATTACACTCAGCCCTTCTTTTTATTCCTTTAGCATATTTCCCTCCATTTAATCTCACAATGCTTTTCTCCCGCTGCCTTTGTGTTCTAATCTCATTCTCACATCTGTCTTTCTCTCTTTTTTATTTTAACCCAGTCCCTTCTTCTGTCTCCTCTCCACCTTCCACCTGATCCAATTCTTGATTTCTCCTGCCTTCATCGTTTCTTCTTTTTTCTTCTCGTCTCCTTCCTTCTCATTTCCCTTATCTTTTATTGCATCAATCATCATGCATCTTCTTCATTAGAGCTGTCCTAAAGGTCTTCTTTCCTTATCTCTCTCTCCAAGGTCTTTGGAGAACAGCTCCAAGTCTTCCCCCTCTCCTATTAGATGCTGTCTTTTCACTCGTTCTTCATTCTTTTACCTTTCTTGACGTGTAGTTTTTCCTGCCCCTGCAATCGTGTCCTTTCAGACTGCAATACGCTTTCATTCTGCTTGCAATCTCTCTCATTCTTTCTCTTTTTGTGACTCAGTGGGAATATTTTCCTGTCTCTCTGCTTGGTTCTGTCTGCACACTCTCCTTCTCTAAAGTGATTTGTTCTGCAGCTCAAGTCTGCAGGATAATCGTACTGTTTTTATAGCATGCCAGGAGAGAGGAAGAGAGGGGGTAAGGGTATGGGGGTAAGCTAACGACTGAATGGGACAGAGGACAAAACAGTAAAAAACTGAATGTTGCAGTTTTTCCTTTCCTCTTTCATCTTCCTCTCTAATT